GAATCTTTGTCTTCATACTAAGTCCATGAAACATACATGGTTCGAAGACAGATTGGTTCATCTTTAGACACATCCAGAATTTCGTGTGTGCCTAGCTTGTCAAAACCATTTGAGACACTTTTTCGTAAATCCAATTTGTACGACATTGCGAATGGATGTATTTCGTCGAATTGATTTTGATAGTAGTCCCGAGGCACTGATAAACGTGCCGTGTGCATTGGTTGACATTTTTATTTTTGTTTATGTAGCGCAATCAACGCTTCAATTTACTCTCAATGTTTATGGGACATATGTTAGAATTTTTATCATGTTGACCCCCAATTTTGAGCAACAATCGATTAGTCTTATATTATCAATGTTCGGTCAAACAGATCAAATACGATAGATTTTTAGTCTCAATTTTTTTGCACAGAAACATCAGCAGTTGTAAACACAATATATGACGGCCTAAGAAGAAAACAATAACATACAGAATATTCTGCAAAAAGACGAATACAAATTTATGTGAGCAAAAACCAAATATACAAACAGACAGCGCAAAGGTAAAACAGCCTACTTACATAAGAATTACATGTAAGTAGGCTGTTTTACTTTTGCGCTGTCTGTTTGTATATTTGGTTTTTGCTCACATAAATTTGTATTCGTCTTTTTGCAGAATATTCTGTATGTTATTGTTTTCTTCTTAGGCCGTCATATGTATAGCGCGCCTCCCTTTATTCACTTTTTTTGTCTTGACTGAGACTTTATTTGATTTAGATAAATGATTTTTTTCGGCGGACAAAATGCAATATTACAAAATTCATAGGGAATTCCCCATTGGGAATAGACTGAAAGATCTCAAATTTATATTGTATTCATTTTTTCTGTTCTATTCAAGTTATTATTCTGAATTCATTGTTTGTACTTTGTTGTGAACTAATACACGGAACACGTATGTTTGTTTGGATCACTTTTGAGAGAAATTCTTTCATTTTGCTAGTGATTTTCGCCCAAAGAAGTGATCTCCAAAAAAAAATGAAAAAGTCTCTCTTCACTTTTCACAATCACCCCCTGATAAAAATTGCGCGCACACTTCTGATTTTGGATATTATTTGTTTTTTTTTTATTCGAATTTAAAACATATATTGTAAACCGTTTAAATAACTATTGGTAGATTTTGAACATTGGTTTGTGGCTGGGAAGCGTGCGCCCTCGCACTTTTTGAATGTCAAATTTATTTAAAATAATTGAACAAATAAAGTGTTGCAAACAAGCGAAAAATACAATATGCTCCCGGATCAAATCGTAAATCCTTGTTAGTTGGTGGTTTAACTTCTTTATTAGAACTTGACTATCGTAATTCTACACGAGATTTTCTTTCGAACACTTTGCTGCTTATTTACTTCTATGTTATATGTTTCATCTTACCAGTTTTATTCAGTAATATTGCTGTTACCATATCCGTTGTGGAATTTTTTTCCACACTAGGTATGGGTATGATTTTCGTTTCAACCGGTAATGGCGAACGTTTGAATATTCGTGTTTTTATCTCATGTCATTTTACTTGTATGTGTGTTTGTATATGCAATATCAATATAGGCAAAATCGCGTACCATTGCGGGAAGCGGATAATTTACAGTACACATATTTATATTTATGCTTTCAGTTTTTATGTTGGATTTTTTTATTGCAGCATCAGTAGTAGTATCAACACCAACCGATGGTTATACGTAGCGGATTTGCCGTCTACCGATGTGTTTATGTACCTCCAACGTGTGGGCAATTTGTGTGTGTGGCACATTGTGTTATATATTTTTCTGTATGTATGGCGATTGAGTCGGGTTTTATGAGATAAATATCTAATATCTGCACTGCAAAGAGACGAAAAAAATAACGCAGATCCTGCATTCTTTTGCATTTTTATTTACTTTATTATTTGTTTTAATTTTGTTGTCTGCAAAGTCGCAGCAATAATTTAATATGTTATCGGCCATTGTGACCTTCTATTGCGAAAAAATGCAATGAAATATATTAATTTAAGTACATGGTGCTACATTCGATCCCCACTGTAATTGCCCCATATTAGTTTGCATTCATCTCACCATTGCAAATTCCAAAACCACCGTATTCTATATTTGTTTATCACTGGAATGGACGTAGACAGCGATGCACCTGTAACACATTGCTTGTTTTGATAGCTTGAACATTTGTGTGTAGAGTTGCGACTGAGTTTTCCTGACGATGGCATTGACAACTTCTTTTTAGTTCGAAAATGTGTCCTGGATTTGGATGTTATACTTTTTTTGTAATTCTATAATTACATCATGAACGCATCAACCTTAAACCGAATTCATGAACAGATGGATTGCATTTGTTAAAAGCAGAATAGATAAAATCAAATAACATGTTTTTATCATTTTGAATATCATAATAAAGTAGTAAATAAAACGTGTATTTTAGTAGCAGCAGACAAAAAAAGTAAAATAAATTCACTGGGTTTTGTTTATGATGTTTTTATCCTACGCTTTAAGAATTCTAATTCATGAAGAATAGAATCTCGTAGAATTCCGACACTGGACATTGTTTCTCATTAAAAAATTCAGGATGAAGAACGGAATGAAATCGTGAGATTTAATATTGCATAAAATCTCGATTCAGTATCATTGTATAATGGCAATTGCCATCTATGTATATAATAAAAACTTGTTTGAAGCGAGAAAAGAAGTTTAAATTAAAGTTGGCACATATAGTACCACAGCCATCACGATGATGCAATATCTGCATGTTGGTGGTGACGGTGACAGTAGTAAAGTTGGAAACGGTGGTTGTTATATCGTAAAAATCATTTACCGTCTATAACGCGCCTAATTTCATAACTCAAGTGCGACACAATATGTGCATACTCTGACTGGAATGGAAAAACAAAAAAAAAACGAAACAAACGCGAAAGAGCAGCCATATTCACCCGCAAAAAGTTAATCTGGAGACATTCCGCTCGCTTGGCTATGTCAAATTTTCGTTGCTTATAAAAGAATCCATGCATTCACATATTAAACAAGTATTTTATAATGAATTTTATAATGAATGCCACAACCAGAGAAAACGTTCTTTCTTTCCACACAGTCAGGAAAGAAGTGCGAGTTAATTAAAAGGTGTTACCGCAATATGTTACATTGGCTGGGCTTATTAATTAACAAGTTCTCACTTTTAATATTTCTCTCTTTTTTATTTTCTTTATGTCTGCATTTCTTCGTCGGTCGGCGTTTTCTACCATGTTGTAATTTGACCATTTAACTTTACGGCAAGCCAAACACATGAAATGCTGTGAACTTTCGTTTGAAATATATTTATTTTTCCCGATATAAAAATGAATGCATTCCGTAAGAGTGAATTTAACATGGAATAATTATTGTTGCAATGAATAGAAAATGGCATTTAGCACAAAATGTATAAGACTTGTACCAATTTTTATTGGTAAAATGGTTTTGGCGTATAAGAATGGGAAATTGGCTAACAAAAATGGGGAATTGACCCCCCAAAAATAGGGAATTGGCTGTCAAAAATGGTGCGTTTGGTTGTGACAAATGGGGAATTGGCTGTCAAAAATGTAGCTTTTGGTTGTCAAAAATAGAAAAATTTGGCTGTCAAAAATGGGGGAAAATGGCTAACAAAAATGGGGAAATTGCCCCTCAAAAATGGGGAATTGGCTGCCAAAAATGCGTCGATAAAAAAAAAAACGAAAAAAATGTTAAAAAGCTACATTTTTGGCAGCCAATTACCCATTTTTTACAACCAAATGCCCTATTTTTGACAACCAAACGCACCATTTTTGACAGCCAATTCCCTATTTTTGGGGGTTCAATTCCCCATTTTTGGGGGGTCATTTTCTCATTTTTGACACACGTTTACCCTTTGCCATTTTATTTCACCTTTCAATCGTAACTGAGCCAAGAACACAATAATGAAGTGGGACATATAGTTAGAGCAGAAAGTAAAATACGTAAATTTCAGTCTCTTGCCACCCAGTGAACAATAAAAATAAGTTTGTTTCAAAGCTTTTCTTTGCGTTATTCATTTTGATTGCACCAAATGCGCACAGCTTTTCATTAGAAAATTAAGACAAAAGCAAAAAAAAAAATGTTTTGTTCGTATTCAATATAATATAGCGCTCTCTTCCTGTGTGCTATAGTCTGTGTTGCCCATTATTTGAGTCTTTGAAGGTTGTTATGTGTTTGCTGCACTTCTAATACCTGTGAGAAACTGTGTTTTATATACAGTTGTCGATGATACTAAAAAGAAAACTATATGGAAAACGGATGAATTTCATCTTTCAGACTTCTTGTGTCTTCCCATTTATTTATATCAATATGTTTATGTAATTGCATTTTTTTGGAAACTAGCTGTTTGTTCACTATAAAAAACAACAAACATATTTTTCACATCATGAATTGAAATTCCGTGTTCGTACGTAGCTGTGGCTGCTAAGATACACTCAAACTCATTTCTTTTCGTGAACCTACAGCGATAAGCTAATATGAATTGTCTCAATAAAAAATCACTAGGGGTTCAGTGATAAGTGTTATTTTCCATTGACAATTTCAAAGCCAATAATTATGAATTTCTGTTGCAAAATAAATCAATTTTTTAAAGCATTTTAATAATTGTTCATCAAATACAGAGACTAGTTCATGCTACATTCATTGACTCACAAATCAGAAATATTTGTCTATCATTTATTGTTATTAAATGACATGATTGACCTCACCAAAACCGGTTTCAAACCAGTTTTTTCTATGGCTTAATCACATTTGCAGTGATGCGTTTTGTGTACTTAGTTTAAAACGAATAAATACACATTGAATTTGCGGCAATTAATCTGTTGGATGTTGATTTCATTATATCAAAGTGAATTGAGAGACAAAAAATTGTGTAAAAATTCGTGAGACGTTGGTATATAGAATATTAAAAGTACAGATTCCAATGTAAATATTTTTAAAATAATAAGCTATAGAATATGATCTCGTTTAAATTTTTTAATCTGTCAAATATAACCATTGACCTTTGAAACCACAAAATAGTGATAAAGCAAATCGATAGAGCAACGAAGCCCATGACGGAACAAACCGAACTGTTCACAAACAATATTCGTGTGATTTATGCATTAGTATGACCGTGTTTAAAATATTCTTTTGACAGAAGTCATTTTGAACGTGTCAAGTGAGTACACTCAAAATTAACGAGCCCAATTGAACTTTGAAACTGAAAGAAATTGAAAGAGAGACGAAATAACAATTTTTTTAATTATCTAAATAGATATAAAATTAAATAGAAGTGAATTAGAGTAAAACATGAACATGTCTTCGGCAAAATATGTGATGGGCAATTCGAAATTATTATTTGGCTCAGTGCGCGTAAACTGTTTATCATTGGTGCAATTGCAACGACGCTCAGCAAGTAGCACACAACCTGAATTGAGTGCATTGCTAAAGAAGACACCTTTATACGATTTGCATGAGCAATATAAAGGAAAATTAGTTGATTTTGCGGGATTTTTGCTGCCGGTGCAATATGGAAATTTCAGCATTACGGCATCACATTTGCATACTAGACAACATGCATCCATATTCGATGTTTCTCATATGTTGCAAACATATGTTCGAGGCAAAGATTCCGTAGAATGTTTTGAATCCATTTGTACGGCGGATATCAAAGGACTCGAGCCAAATTCCGGCACTCTGACCATATTTACAAATGCAAACGGTGGTATTTTAGATGATTTGATTGTGACCAAAGTGTCTAATGATTTGCTTTATGTTGTATCAAATGCGGCTTGCCGAAAGCAAGACATGACGATAATGCAGGAAAGTGTGGTAAGTAGTCAAACACTCGATATTCTTGTAACAGTGTTATATAAAATCGAAATTAGTTCAAGCGTACTTACGTAAGTAAGTAAATGAGACGCGGAAATTGAACATGTTCCACTGAATTAAATGCATGCGATGTTTTGAAATCCAAAATTAGGAAAGATTTACTAAGCTCGGCAAAGACGTTTCTATTGAATTCCTTGACAGTGATGTGCGTGCATTGATTGCTTTACAAGGGCCACATGCTGTAGCTGCACTTGAAGATATATCTTCCCTTTCACTTCGCGATTTGTATTTTATGCAAACCAGAGTTGCCAACGTTGCTGGAGTGGATGGGTGCCGAGTCACACGTTGCGGATACACAGGTTTCATTCATTTATGGTTTGCGTTTTCTTGTTTTTTGTAATTCGTAAAAATATTTTTTTTCTTCAAACTTACTCAGGTGAAGATGGCGTAGAGATATCAATTCCCGGAGAAAAAGCGACGCTAGTAGTAGAAGCATTACTGAACTCAACACATGCCAAAGTGCAATTGGCTGGATTGGGTGCACGAGATTCATTGCGACTTGAAGCTGGACTTTGTTTGTATGGAAATGATATTGATCAACAAACAACACCTATTGAAGCTGGTCTTGCGTGGCTTGTTGGTAATAAAAATCGAAATCATGCTTACATTTTTTATATTCAAAGTTTTCACCAACATTTCTTATAAATATTGCAGCCAAACGACGTCGTTCTGAAGCAAATTTTCCAGGGGCAGATATTATTTTGAGTCACCTAAAAAATGGTTGTGAACGTCGACGTGTTGGTATACGATTGGAAAGGGGCCCAGCAGCTCGACACGGTGTACAAATTCTGGACAATGGAAAGCAAATCGGGGTAGTAACGAGTGGATGTCCAAGTCCAAGTCTCGGACTAAATGTAGCAATGGGATATGTGGCTAACGATTATAAAGCCGTCGGTACTCAAGTCCATTTGAAGATTCGTGACAAAATATTCAAAGCCACCGTTACGAAAATGCCATTCACTCCAGCTCATTACTACAATAAACCAAAATGAAACAAACATCAATATGACTACGAATCAATAGTCTCATTTCAATTGGGATCTGTTTTATATGGGCAATCTGTGTGTATTTTAAAACTGATCAATAAATCGTTAACAAAGAAACAACGCATTTATTCATGCATATAAATAAACAAGTGATTTTATTTAAATTATCATTGCCTTCAAATAATACAGTGACAGTAGTTTGTTCTGCCTAGTACAGTCCTATGTTTTATACTAAACCAAAGACTGGTACTATATTTAGTGCAATATGAAATATGTATATTTTGCGTCACTCTATATATACTGTAAAGAAATGAAAATTGAAACCGCTGACTTTTGGAAAAGGGTTTTTGCATATTTTAGTAGTGCTCGGGTACCAAATTAAGAATCCGCAAAAAAAAAAATTCAAAATTTGACCGCTAGGTGGCGTTTCAAAAAAAAAAGGTAAATTTTTGGTTTTGTCCATTTTTGACCACCCAAACCAGAAACAATTTTCCGAAAAATGACATATTCGGAAACTGGAGTTCGGGTAAATAGTGTAGAAAAAAAAAATTGTTGGAGTCGATCGAAAAGTGTCCGAGATATGATCATGTCAAAAAAATCATACGAAAAAACACGAAATTTTTGAAATGGTTTATTTTATTTTTTTTTATTTATTTATTTCACCGCCTGTTCTCAGACTGAATATATGTATCACAATTATTTTACAATATCATTCGCAATGTTTGTTTGTTTGTCGGCAAATTTTTTTCCGCAGTTTTTGATAAATCGCCGGAGACCGATTTTATTCGAAAGTAGATGGAAAACTGAGCATACATGTCTCTTCGAATTTTTGGATTTCGTCGCGCAAGTGCCTGGGGTCTAGGTTCGAAAAAAAGTGGAATGCACTTTTTCAGTTTTTCATCGAAAGGCCTACTTTCTGTGCATATGAAAGGTGAGGTAATGATCTATATGTCGTTGGAAAGCTACGAACCTCAGCTATCCAGATCTGACGTCAAAAAATTTCTAAAATGATCGCTAGATGGCGCTGCATGTGTTGTTTTTTTGGAAAAATGACCATGACTTTTTTCACACCGACCAAAATTTAAAAAACTGCACTCATTTTTTTTTCGTGAAAAACTGAGCGTTTGTTGGGGACTAAATTTGTGATGTTTTGATGTATGTGTCATATGTGGGAAAATTTGTTCCAAAAAAAATTTTCGGTTCCAAAATTAAAAAAAAAATTTCGAAAATTTTCGATTTTTGAAGAATTTCTAGATTATGGTACACGGGGTGTTTTTCAACAAATATACGTCATTTTTAGCTCTTTGGCAAGATATTGAGCTCCCCTAGAGCATACAGCGAAGAAATTTTTAAAAAAATTCAGTGGAGATGGTTCAATCTATTTATGACCATACTATTAAAAAATGAGGAAAAATCGATGAAAATCGTAATTTTGTTTAAAAAAATGTGTGAAAAACTTTTTTTTTATCATATATCGAAAGAGCACTCAATTTTGAACCAATGTGCACGTTTTTTAAAACCAACATTTTTCCAAATTGGTCGAAATTCGAAAAAACGTGTATTTGGCGGACCACCTTTTTAAATAACCAGGAAACTACACCTTGAAATGATGTTTTGAGGGCTTTATTCAATTGAAAAAAATGAATTAAAACATCGCTGCAATTAGTTTTGAATAGATTTGGTAACCATACATACTACAAATTCACCGTAGAAACTTCTCCTTTTGTTTCGAAATTTTACAAAAACAATTAAAAATGCAAAAAAAAAAAATTCGAGAGCAAACATAAAACTCTAATTCAATGTAAAAACAAATGAAAAAAGTATGGCAGAAAGCAAAAAAAATTGGCGTGCATTGCAAGAAATCGATAAATAAAAATATTTTCGATTTCCAATGAGAATATATATATGAATACAATAAAAGAATATATAAAAAATTAAATTTAATGTTAAAACAAATGATATAAGTAAAAAACACTTCTTTGGAAGTGTGCCGCAATACTGCACATCAAATCTTTGACACATTTCATTCTATTCACACGAATTCACCGAACTCATCAATAACCACTCGATTCAAAAGTGTGAATTTACGTGAATTCCCGTGAATTTTTTTGCCGTATTAAGCCCCTAGGATATTTATCTGCAGGCTCGAAATAGCGAGACAAAAATCGTGTGCTGTGACAAAATTAATTATTCTCTCAACTCACTGCATTTTTGTAACATTTTTAAACTAATTAATCCTCATTTGCTGGGCTCATGGTTTTTTTCTTATAATTTGAAGTATTTTCTTTCGTTATCAATAGAATTTATTTTTTTATGTGTGAAAATCTTAGTGTACCCCGCCTAAAGGCAAAGCTATGCAAATCGAACAATTTTCTATATCTATTGAATAAATCGAGAAGAGAGTATGTTATTCCGCGCTTATGGCTGAGTAATGTCTGAATGAAAACACACTCTCCTCTCGATATTTTCAATAGATATGGCGTATAACAATGAAACTCATCTAGGGGCTTAATAAGGCAAAAAATTTCACAGGAATTCACGTAAATTCACACTTTTGAATCGAGTGGTTATTGATGAGTTCGGTGAATTCGTGTAAATAGAATGAAATGTGTCAAAGTAATAAAGTGAGGTTATGGTAACCGCAATATTTTTTATTTTTTCAATATTTCCGATTGTTTTCGATAGAAAATCGCTCAAAATTGAAAATAAAATTATTTTTTATTGAAAAATATAAAAAACATTTACAATTTTGTTACACAAAATATAAATATTGCAGTAATTGTCAGCAGAAACTATTCACCACTATCTCACATATTTGAATGAAATCGCCGTAGAATTCACCGGAATATATTTGTTTGCAGAAAGATTCAGTTAATTTAGATATTATTATAGAATTCAGTCGTTGAAAATTTTGAATTAAGCCCCTAGAAACTCATTGTTTGTATTTCGATTCAATTTGATTTAGGATTCGGGAAAAATGGGAGTGGAAAAATGGATTGCAATACCGAACGAGCGCAATCTCTCCCATTTTTATTTCAATTAAATTGATTTAGAATTCGGGAAAAAGTTCACTCTTCTTTTAAGGAAAATTCACTAAAACTTCATCAGACATGAAGTTCATGAGAAATCTTAACCACAGTTAAAGAACTTTGAAAAAATTGAGCAATTTGGTATAGAATTGTCAAAATGTCTTCCGGAAAAAAATTCGTGAAAAAAAATCCGGAAAAAAAAAATTCGTGAAAAAGTTTTTTCGGGAATTGTCTTTCGGGAAAAAGGATTTTTTTTTTCGATTTCTACGAACGAACGAACAAATTTTTTTTTCAATTCCCACGAACGAACGAACGAACACAATTTAATTTTTAAATATCTACGAACGAACGAACGAACCAAAATGTTATTTCTATTGCCTACGAACGAACGAACGATCATTCGTAGCCAACAGTATCTATAAGTAAAATGATTGATTTTTTAGTGTGCACTTTTTTTTTAAAGAAAACTGCTTTAAAAGATATTTATCACCTAATCGAAAAATTCCTAATTTTGATAACTTGATAACACTTGAACGGCTCTAGATGTGATATTTCATGATATTCTATCGATTTAAGCATAAAATATATGATTTAAAACCAATTGAATGTCACTTTTGGTTCTTCATAAAATGATCCATTTTATATTGCGACTTGAAAATATACCTTCACCCCGGCCAGTACAGCAATGCCAGAACGCTTTCAAACAGCATTGATATTGTTTTTACAGTCAAAATTGATTGAATTCAGTTACTGAAATAGGTTTATAAGTGAATTATAGTTCGGATAAATCATGTTTCATATTCATATTTTTGCCCCACGTTCATTGCTCACAATTTGCTATGCAAATGACAGTGTTCCAGCTATACGATGCGTTGAAATGGGTGTATACCAAAGTGGAATCACATTAGTTTTGCTCTGAAAGTATTCTAACTTAAAATGTGATTAATATGTGGAGGTCTGTTGTACTTTTGGTACAAAACCTTCATTTTTGGTGATGAAATAGGAAAATTTTGAATGGAAATGTGTTTTATTTTCATTCAAATCATTTGAAACTTCACCAGTGGCAAGTGTTTGACGGAAAATGACGATTACCATCAATTTTTAGTCGATATGGTTGTGCGAAGATATTTTTATTTTAACTGAAAACGTCATTTTTCAAAAAATTCACATAATGACCTACCGAGCTCTTGCGACATCATCTAGCGTTTAGCTATCGACATGAAACTTTACACACGTTATTTGCAAACCATATGGAAAAGTATTCCGAGGTAAGAGCGAAAAAATTTCAACTTTTGTGTTTGGGGACCAGTCTAGTAACCATAGGAATCACCAAAAATGAATTTTTGCTTGACCAATCGGTTTTCGGTACTTGATGACAGTTTTGAAAGGTTTGAGCACTCAGATTGGGAATACGACCGGACTTTTTGCTTTTTATAGAATCTTTATATTCATATTAAGTCCATGAAAAACGATACATGGTTCGAAGACAGATTGGTTCATCTTTGGACACATGCAGAGTTTGTTTTGAACTAAGCTGTCCAAAACCAATTTGTGCGTCATCAAGAATGGAAATTTTGGTGCAAATTGTGTTTGATAGTAGTCCCGAGGTATTGATAAACGTGCCGTGTGCATTGTTTGATATTTTTGTTGTTGTTTATGTAGCACAATCAACGCTTCAATTTACTGTCAATGTTTATAAGACATATGTTACACCCATTTGAACGCATCGTATAGCTTGAACACTGTCATTTGCATAGAAAATTGTAAACAATGAACGTGGGGCCAAAATATGAATATGAAACATGGTATATCCGCACCAAAAGTCACTTATAAGTCTATTTAAACGACTGAATTCGGTCAGTTTTGATCTCATGAACAGCATCCATGCAGATTGCATGCATTCTGGCCTGATTTGCGCATGGTCATACTGGCCGATGTAAAGGAATTTTTTCAACTCACAGACTGGAGCTTGCTGAATTTCAAAATCTAATAGCATTTTGTGTTTTTTCATTGCAGATTGAGGACAAAACCTCCTGGGGCGACTTGGGAGGCAGGGGTCATAAAAAATTTCTCTCATCATCCTGAACAACTTTGT